GAGCAGATTATCCAATCAGCCGTTTTCTAATGCGTGATATGCCAAATATTATTTCGCAGATCACACATTATTCAAATATTATTTGGCAGATCACGCATTATTAAAATATAATTTTGCAGATCACAAAATAGAAAACGGCTGATTGTCTGTCTGTGATAATCTGCTCTGCCGTTATTATTATTACAATGATCTGCTCTGCCAATCTGCTCTGCCGGTTGCATTATGATCTGCCGAAATATTTGGCAGATCACACATTAGAATACGGCAGAACACTTTTTTTTAGAAAAAGTATTGCGACAACAAAAAACGTTAATGTTTAAAAAGTCAACTCATAGTTCTTTCTATTCGGAGTGCATCGTTTTTCATAAAAATATTTGGCAATCACATTATAAAAATTCTATTATATGATCTGCCGAATTATTTGGCAGATCACACATTAGAAAACGGCTGGTTAAATAATCTGCTCTGCCGTTATTAATGATCTGCTCTGCGAATCTGCACTGCTCTGCCGATTGTACCTACCCGCTTTTGAATGTCTACTTTCTAATACCAACATTTTTTGTTTCGTTTTAATTATGCCAATTTAAACCGCGTGACTTAAGCTCTAATGTGAGTTTTCTGACCAATGGCTATAGGGGAAAGCGGGGCAACATGGCGAACGTTTTGAAAGCCCCGAGATATTGCAAAACTATCAGTTGTGAAACCGTAATACTTTCTCAGTATGTTTATGTTATTAAAATGATTCATTATCAGCATGAATTTTCAGTTTGCAAATATAACATTTTGGAATAAATATTAAAATAAAAAGTTTATAAATTTGTCAACTGGTCACGTGACTGGGACAAGATGACTTACAATGCAATTTTACCTCCAATTTTATAAAATTTTAAAAACTACCAATAACTCTAACTAAAGTAACAAAAAATAAACGCAAATTGCAAAAAACTATTTATAAAGAAGTTAAACTTGAAGAACACTATTCATTATAAGAAACCGAAAGTGAGGAATTTTTTTTTAAGCGCAAAAAGTAAAATTATGCGTATAAAATTGCGTTAATAATATTTCAAAAAACCAATTGGTGTTTTAAAATACAAGATGCAAATACAGTTTTGTTTTCATCCTATTTCAAGATTTTTTGTTGAGTTGTTATATGAAAACCCATCTTGCCCCATTCGCCATGTTGCCCCGTTTTTCCCTATTATATTTTAAACCGCATGACCTAAGCTCTAATATGAGTTTTCTGACCAATAGCTATATTATAACATAAACCGCGTGACTTGAGCTCTAATGTGAGTTTTCTGACTAATGGCTAGATTATAATATAATATACGTTTACTACATAAACGTTGATCAAACGTTTAGAATTACGACTTATATTAGTTAATATTGTAATCGTTTGATCAAAGTTAAATAAACGTATACATTAAAAGATTTAAAGCGTAGATTTTAAACCTATAAATGTTTACGTTTAGTTACGTTTAGTTAAAGGTTTACAATATTGACTAATCTAAGTCGATATTCTAAACGTTAGATCGACGTTTAGATAAGGTTTAGATAAAAAAGTTTGAAATATACAATGTATATTTCAAACTTTTTTATCTAAACCTTCAAACATTAAACATTCAAAACTCCAGGAATAAAATCAATTTTTGCTAACAATGAGGAAAGAAAATCTTACTAAAGAAAACTACTGGGTAAAAAAAGTTTTGATAAAATGTTAGAGATTTTGTTAATGAAATTGTTAAAGTTTTGTTTTGCGAGATGTTATATCATCGCTACCTTTCTACCCACTAGACCACGCATCACCATCAATAATTTATAATAAATTATTAGAGAATTAAATAAAGAAAATAATTGAATTTCAAGTTTTAGTTCATTCCGGTTCCAACCGGAAATATAGTATTTCAGGCCGGAATGCGGGAATTTTTTTTTATTTTTATTTTTTAAGATATGTGACATGGACCCTGTAAATTAAATCATTATATCATTATCCTACTGGGTTGAAAAATGGATAAAACGTTTAGCGACCTAATATTGACTAAAAATCGAGGCTTGATTTGAAATGTATAACATACATTCAAATATTGAGGCTTGATTTGAAATCAAAAATCGAGGCTTGATTTGAAATGTATAACATACATTTCAAATCAAGCCTCGATTTTTATTCAATATTAGGTCGCTAAACGTTTTATCCATTTTTCAACCCAGTAGGATAATGATATAATGATTTAATTTACAGGGTCCATGTCACATATCTTAAAAAATAAAAATAAAAAAAAATTCCCGCATTCCGGCCTGAAATACTATATTTCCGGTTGGAACCGGAATGAACTAAAACTTGAAATTCAATTATTTCCTTTATTTAATTCTCTAATAATTTATTATAAATTATTTATGGTGATGCGTGGTCTAGTGGGTAGAAAGGTAGCGATGATATAACATCTCGCAAAACAAAACTTTAACAATTTCATTAACAATATCTCTAACATTTTATCAAAACTTTTTTTACCCAGTAGTTTTCTTTAGTAAGATTTTCTTTCCTCATTGTTAGCAAAAATTGATTTTATTCCTGGAGTTTTGAATGTATTTTTACTGTTTTATATATCACTTATTACGCATTTAAATTTTAAAAAACATTGAACAACACTAATATAACGGGGCTCGGTGAGCTTCTTCTTGCTCCGTATTTTCTATTGCAATTCTTTTTTTTTATTTAATATATTCTACAGTTTAACAAACAGTAAATAAAAAAAATTAAAAAGAAAAATTTAATAAGTCAAAAAAATTGCGTCACGAGTTTTATCAAAAAAAAAAAAAAAAAAAAAGTAAAAAACATTTTGTCAGAAAATAGTTTATTTTTTGAAAGAACTCATGACGCAATGCCAATTTTACATTTTGTGAAATATCCATGCATGATAACGAATCGCTATGAATCGCAGAAAAGCATGATCGTGGAATGGTTATAAATCATATTATTGTATAAATATTGATTTTTGTTGCCTAAATTTAAGCAACAAAAATCAATATTTATACAATAAATGATTTATAACCATTTCATTTTTAGGACCTATAATTTATACATTTTAATAATCCTATTTTCATAACTAATTAGATATGCTTACATATAGATATGCTTATTTAGGTATAAATAACAAAAAAAAACATTTTTAATTTTGACAAAGTTTTTGTGGAATGCATTATATATTTATAAATATTTATAAATAGCTTGAGTTCAAGTCTTGATGAGCAGTTTCGAAAGTTCACTATTGGTCACCAAGGGGGACTGATGAAATCTTTGATGTGGTAGAAGACTGTGTAAATTTTGGGTGTTACGCTTGCACCAGCTATCATTAAGTATCATCTTTTGAATTTTTCAATTATTTCAGTAAAATCCGACTTTAATTAAAACTTTTGAATGCTTCAATTATGTGAAGAATGTTGGGAACCAAATTTTGTTTTAGCAAGTTGCTGGAACCCATCCACATTATTAGAAAGCTTCATGCATTTATTTTTTTTATCTAGCCTCCATGGTACAAGCTCAATTGAATGCGGAGCATTTTTTAGTATCTTGTAAAGATGATTGACAACTCTTTTAAGGAGATACAATTCCACCCGTGGGATTACTTCCAAAATCAGAACATTGTCAGGCTTGCTAACGAATGGCTTTCAAATGACATTGAAAAATAATTATGCACGACCAAAAACCCTGCCAGATTGCTGAAAAGACTCGAGGTAAATTTGATTGAGACCAGTTTTGCAAGTTTCCGGGCCAAACACTTGGATTTGACGTTAAACCATGTACAAAGGTGTATACTTCAATGGGTTTGAAGACTACAAATTATATTTTCAACTTTTGTATTGCAAGTCAAAATATAAAACTTTCTTTAGAAAGTTTGTTTAAAACTTTCAAATTGTTTGTTTACAAAGTGATTAGAAACTTTTAAAAATAAACTTCCCGAAACCTAACTTTTTTTTCAAAAATTTTCTATGAATATATATGTTAAAATAATTTAAGTATAAATATTTTCCTGGGATAATTGCAAGAGGAGGCCCACCAGATTCTTTTGCAAATCGAAAAGCTCCTTTTGACGATAATTCTTTATTGGAAATTACTCGAGATGCGATTTGCTCGGCTACTCTGGCATCTTTTGCTGTTAAAGATTGAAGGTTTTACCCAGGGCCGCCCCGAAGAGATTTTAAAGGAAGGGTTGCCGTGTCTTTTTTTTGCCGGCTAAAGCTAAAAAGATTTTTTTCCCCACTAACTTATCTAAAAAAAAAAGATCTTCGTTTTCCGACATTTGCCAACTGCCAACTATAAGTACAATTTTGCCGACTTTAGTATCCCATCGACCGACTTAAAAAATTCGTTGGGAGGCTAGAAACCCAATTATACCCACCCACTCCCTCGGGACGGCCCTGGTTTTACAAGAACTGAAATATGATTCGCCGAGTCCTTTTGGTACCTATGAAAATATTGAGGTGGTATTGCATCACCCATATCTTAGCCCCAAGAAGACCTAACGGTCTTGTCACAGAGCACCGCGGAAGTGCATTTAACCAGGAAGTTCATGCCTCCTTCCTTACCATGACGCGAAAATATGTCCAGACCTCGTTTTGAACCTGGATCGCCTGCTTATAAAACAGGCGCTATAACCACTGCGCCACGGCCACACATTTTACTGCGACTTACATGGTCTTTTCGCACAAGTAGCCCATCAAAGTTTTGATCCACTGTGACAATCGGGTTTAGGTTGTCAATAGATGCAAATATGCAGCTACCATGACGTGAACTATAATTTCCATGGAAATGGTCAACTATTTTTTACTTAACTTAATCTTCATTGAGTCCCGGTCTGTTTTTTAAATTGCCTTATTTATTTATATATATATTTTTTTTACATGGAACTCTAATGTAATTTATTTTATTAAACAGCGAAATATATACAACAAAAGTATAAAAAAAAAACAAAAACAAAAAAAAAACAATTGGCGCACTCATGTAAATTTGCACTTATAAAAATTCGTACTTATGCAGCCTCCCGTGCGGACCTTTTCGTAATTAAAAATTTAAACAACAAATTAAAACGAAGCAAAACAAGTGCTTATGTTAAATTAAATATTTTTATCTAGAAAATGGCTGAAGGTTTATCTTTAGAGTATGTCTTTTTTTCTTCTATATTTAGGACAAATATTTAATTGCTATATGTAGGATGAATATATATAAATAGTATAAGTAACGTAAAAACATAGTTTACATAAATTATTTATGTACATAAGTAAGTTGAAACAAAAATATACAAAGTCTGATACAAATAATTTTAGATGTGATAATAGCGTTTCGAACTTTCATTTTAGTCTTCGAAATAAAAATTATACTAATGTTCCTGAAGAACTATTTGAAAATGAAGCCCTTGAAAGTCTTTATATTAGAGAAGGAAATCAAATACCGGTAAATTTGTTTTGTACATTTTCTTTTCTTTGTTACATATGTATTCTTTTAAGATTTGTTCAAGAAATGTTATTAAATCCAATTATTGGTACAAGGTTTTAAAATTGAAAGCATTTTTTTTTGTTTTTCATCTAGGCGTACCAACTTTATTTGCTGCTAGATAAAAATTCTTCTTTAAAATTTCTGGATGGTCAGGTATGATTTTTTTTTAAGCTGACCAAAATCCCTTTAGTAATAGGGACAAGCTAAACTTCAAATAAAAATTTAACAACTTTTGACAGAAAATTAGAGTTTGTAAGTTTTATAAAATAAATTGGATTGTGAATAAAAAAAATACATTTGTAGATAAAACATCAAAATAACATATTTGTATGCAGCAAAATTCAATTACAAATTACACTTTCTGCACTTTTTTTTGTAATTTTCTTGCAACTACATTTAATATGTAGATAGTATTTTAGTGATTAAGGTAGTCAATACTATTTATATTATGCTGCATAAGTCTTGCTATATAATATCATGCTATATGTGTCGTGAGCGCAGTTTTATTCTAAAACAGGAAAAGAAAATTAATTATAACACTTGTCTAAAAAAAAAAGAAACTAATTTTAGGATGAAAAATAGTGAACATGACATGAGCTTTGCGTGTTCAAAATGTTGTTTTTTCCTCTATGTGGTTAATGGTACTCAAATATCGTGGCTGAAACAATAAAACCTCTGTTCAGATTTTACTTTTGCAACAACTGATCCAATCCTTATAATTGCCTTATAATTTTGTCGCAAGCTCAGTATTCCTAAAGCTGAGAAATTGATTAATAGTGGAATTATTGTTAAAAGCAAAGTCATTCTAAAGCTGAAACAGATTACTAGTAGGATTATTGTTGAATAATTTTGATGTTACTGAAACATTTTTTGTACAAACCTTAGATTTAATAGTTTAATAAATGATTTCTTCTTATGACTTTGTTTATGTAGAGATAAAGTAAAGTTTGTATTATGTTATTTAAAGTTTAATAATGTTTTTTTATAAATGTTTTTATTTTGGCCTATTGGCACAATTTCATAATGGTTTTGTTTCTACCATTAATAAATAAGTTTGTAAAGACTTGAAGGTGATTAATTTGTTTGTATGCAAGTTAAAAATAGCTTTAATGCATTCTCTGCCTCTTGAATAGTGAGAGTGAGTAGATATGGTCATAGCATATTATATTATAAGAACATTTTCTTGGTTTACACAGTTTGCAATATGCAACATAAGTTTTATCAATTAAAGCGTTGTTTTTTGTAAGATATATATCAAAAGCTTTGATAAAGGTGCAGCAATTAAACTGCTTTCTAGACAAATTGATATTTCTCTTGACATATTGATATTTTTCTTGACAAATTGATATTTCTCTTGACAAATTGATATTTCTCTTGACAAATTGATATTTCTCTTGACATCTGTTTCAGCTTTAGAATGACAATGCGCAATTAAAAAAAGGGTTTTTCCATTGAATCAAATTAAATAGGGTTGTTTTAGCCCAGACAAACAAACTGAATACTATCATGAATATTAAGTTCAAGAAAAATATTTACCAATGACAATATAAGTCTTTTTTAGTTTTGTTATCAATTGTTATCTTTATATTTAATATAAAATTTCAAGTCTCAAATGTGATCTCTTATGCTAAGTAGGTTTGAAAATGATTTTTATTTTCTGAGCATTTTTTTAAGAATTAAAATTAATGCCAATTATGATTTCTCAAGGAAAAACTAAAAAGATCACATTTTAGTAGTGAGATCTATATAGTAATTAATCTTTGTTTTCTATATTAGTTTTTCTTTGTTTTCCTTACTCACTGAAAGATGTAATGTTTTTCATAATGTATTCCCAAAATATCCCCATCAAATTATTGGGTTCAGGATTATCACAATTCCCATGTATGTTGCTTTGTAGGCAAAGGCTAAAAGAAATAAACTCTGACTTGAAAATCCCCTGCCTTGGAACTCTTGGTTAGGTAACGGTGAAGATGGTGTCTCAATAAAAAAAATCATTTTGGGCAGATGTTAACTGCTTCCAGCTAAAATTCCACTGACATGGGGCTCCTGGATGAGTAAAAACTAGAGATGGTATATTATTAAAAGTATTCATCTTGGTAGCTTTTAACTGCATCCAGCTATTGTCTTGTAGACTGCCTCCTAGGTAAAGACTGGTAAGACAGGTAAAGTAAACCTCCTAGGTTAAGGAAGGTAAGGGTAAGCAGAGGCTGGCTGATAGTAAGGTTCCTAGAACTTTGTGGTAGCTCTCAGAAAGGCTGATTCCATTAACAGCTAAAAAACATCAAAGTATTAAAAGTGCCATGTTGCGTGTAAACCAAAGTAAACCAAAATATTAGGCATAAAAAACAATCCCCACAGATTCAAAACAGTCATCCATCTAAAATAATGATTTTTATAGAATTTTACATTTTGAACTTTTTAAAAAAGTTGATACCTTTTGATGCTAAAATGTTAACAGCAAGTTGTTTAATTAACTAAAAGCCAACAAAAAAACATTACATCATTAAAAAAAGTAAAAAAAACATAACATCAATAAAATAGAAAATTCACCTTTTACCATTAATAATATAAGGTGAAAAATCACCTATTATTAATTATTATTTTTATTAATCATTATTTTAACTGATATTTAGTTCTAAAATATTAACATTGAGTTAATTTTTTAAATAAGAATATTAATAGTAACTAAAAAAACAATTTGTCATTACACTAATATAGAAAAATTTATTACATATTAAGTTCATCATTAACATTTTTAACATTAACAAGTTTATTACAATTAAACAACCGAGTTAAAGAGACAAAAAATAACTACTTATAGGTGCACAACAGAAAGTGATATTTTCTCTATCTTTTATTAGAACCAAGAGTCTATTATAGATTTTATATTTAAATAGGTGAAAGATTTCAGTATATATAATTTGGAAATGAATTAAACTAAAAATTTAATTTTTTAAACTTTTTTTCACTTCTTATATATAAAAGATAGAAGATAAAAAAATAAATCACTGTTTAGTTTCCCATTACCATGGTTACCATGGTGTTTCACTTGCAATTTTATTACTTACTATTGTTTTTTCATTTTTAATTTAAGTTCTTTTTAATGCAACTTAATGCCCATCACACTGAGTGGCTTGGCTCTAACACCACTGATCTTGCTGGCACTAAAGCCTTTAACTTCTGGGTTTCTCAATCTCTTACTCAGATAGTTAACTTTGTGACTCGTTTTCCTGACAACCCTAATCATTTACCTTCACTCCTTGACTTATGTCTTTTCTCTGACCCTAGCTTGTGTTCAGTTTCTCCCTTTTCTCCCTTAGGTGGTTCTGACCATGCAATGATCTCTATAAATCTTTCTTCTCGTACTTCTTTTTTGGGCTCACCTTATCATCGCACCACCTACTACTACCCTAAAGCTGACTGGGATTCCTTTTGTGATTTTCTTCGTGATGGTTTTTGGGCTGATGTTTTTTCTCTCTCAGCTGACAAATGCGCCTCCTACGTTACCTCCTGGATTCAGGCTGGAATGGAAGCTTTTATTCCTTCTCGTCGGTTTCAAGTCAAGTCTCATTCTACTCCATGGTTTTCTCCTTCTTGTGCGGCTGCTATATCCAATCGTAATCATTTTTTTACCTCTTTTTCAAAAGAACAATTCTCTTGAGAACAAACAGCTATTTATTATTGCAAGAAATCGATGTAAAAAGGTGCTTTCTGATGCTAAACTCCATTATTCTCAGTTCACTAAATCTCGCATCTTATCACAGAAGTTAGGCTCTAAAGACTTTTGGAAAATCTTCAACAGCATTATTAACAAGGGTAGATCTAACATTCCATCTCTCATTCATGGGACTGATCTTATTACCTCTCTCAAGGATAAGGCAGAACTATTTGCAAAGAACTTTTCTTCTAATTCCATTCTTGAATCTTATGGACATTCTCTTCCTTCCGTTCCAGTCAAACAGGTTGACCCATTGTTAGACATTCAAATCACTCCTGCTTCTGTTGCTAAAGTCATATCTCAATTAAACTCGTCTACAGCTTGTGGTTCAGACAACATTCCTGTCACAGTCTTGCAGAATTGTTCTCCAGAACTTTCTTCAATTCTCTCTTAACTATTTAACAAGTGTTTGACTGAGTCTTGTTTTCCTGCTTGTTGGAAAATGGCATCTGTGGTTCCAATATTCAAAAACTCTGGAGAAAATTCTGACCCCTCCAATTATCGTCGGATCAGTCTTCTTATTGTTATTAGCAAGGTCTTTGAGTCTTTGATCAACAAATTCCTCACATCTTATCTTGAGTCAAATAAACTACTGTCAGACAATCAATACGGTTTTAGATCCTCTCGCTCTATGGCTGACTTGCTAACTGCTGTAACTGAAAGATTTTATCGTGCATTAGATGGAGGCGGTGAGGCTAGGGGTATTGCTCTCGACATATCTAAAGCTTTCGACAAAATTTGGCATCAGTGATATTTTTGTTCGGAAAATAATTTTAGTTTTAGTTTTTATTCAGTTTAGAGGCAAAGTTTTTAGTTCTAGTTCTTATTCAGTTCATTAAATAAATTTAGTTCTAGTTTTTATTCAGTTCATCTTAAAATAATTTTAGTTTTAGTTTTTATTTAGTTCAATTTTCGTTTGTCGTATAAATTTTTTATCTCATCTAATTATAATTTAGTATAATTTATAAATAATATAGGCATATATAATTAAAAGAAGTAAGTCTTAAGTCTATAAACAAACAAAAAAATAAGAACTTAATTAAATGTAATACACCCAGTCCCATGGCTAGAAGTTTAGAGCCCGGCCCACCGCCCTTAATAAAAAACACAACAACAACCTGTCCTTATTGCTCTAAAACTTAAAAAAATTTCAATTATTAGGTATAAAAAAACTCCTTAAATTTGGTAACAATAAAAACTAATGAACAGTTATTGTATAGACTTTAATAATTACTCATATATTTTACAAATAAAGGGCCTAGTGATTATATGATTATCATCTAGACTAGATGAGAATTTAGTTTTAAGAAAACTCGCATTTCCAATGACGCTGACATTCGATTTCTCCGTCCATTTGTGACAGATTGAAAAGCCACAGATTGAAAAAAGTCTTTCAACATATGCTTGAGTTGCAGAAGCTGCTATGAGGTCTTCAGCTAATGGTGCAATATGTGGGTAAACAGCACGTCTCATCTTCCAGAAATTTAAAGCATTTTGGCACATAGAGCTGTTCCTTATTTCAATAAAATATTTGTTGAGTTCATTTTGTGCTTCATTACCTGGAATAAGCTTTATTTTTTCTACTCGCTGTTTTGCCGCTAAAAATTTCCATTTTGTTAATCCATTTATTTCTGGAGCAATCTCAACAGAAAGAGTAGATGCACTTGCTAAAGGTAAATCATGTTGCACCGATTTTTTAGCCTCTGACAAAATGTATTTCTTTGCACACTCTCTGATTTGTGTATGCTCATTACCTAAAAGAGCTATTGCACATGTGGGGTCAAGTAGACATGCGGCACATGGCAGTGGATTAAAATTAGGATCGTTTGGCTGCAAAAGAACGGCAAAACGACGGCGTAGATCTTCAAGCATTTTAACTGCTACATCTTTGGCATCTCCAAATTGCTCAAGGTGACATTCTAAATTAAGTATTGAAGGTTCAACACTGGATAGAGAAAGTGCATCCGTCTGGAGAATATCAGTTTCATTGGCAAAAGGTTCTAAAAGATTGACAAAATCCTGAAGCATTATCCATTCGCTATTGGCAAGTGAATCAATGTTAAGGTCTCCAAGCACTTCGTTGATAGATGTCTTTATTTCCAGAAATCTCCGAACCATAAAGTAAGTGCTGTTCCATCTTGTAGAACAGTCGCTGATCACAGTCTTACCACATTTGTTGATAATTTTTTCCAATGCAACAGAAGATTTGCGAACTTTTCCCACTAATCCACGTACCTTCAAAAGTAAGCCATGATATTTACCATCATATGCAAGTTTTACAACTAGCTGTATAACATGTGCAATGCATCCCAATCTTCTAAATGCTACGTTTTCTATTACATCAACTATCGAGTCAACATGTTCCCACTCTTCACTATTTGTCATATTCTCATCGTCTTCCAGATCTGTTATCTGCTCTTCATTAACCTCACTTTCTAATTCAATAAGTATATCACGTTCAGCTTGAGCTTTCATTCTCGACAACTTTATGCCTTTGACCATGTTTGCTCCATTGTCCGAAATAACAAGCAATATTTTTTCTCTGGAAATATTCCAATATTTTAGGCATTTTTCAAAACAATTAGCAATTTGTTCACCTGTATGTGGATGTTTCACAAGATACAAATTAAGCAGAGCATGTATTGGTTTTTCGGATTTGAAGTGAAAAAAACAAACCGAAATTCCTAAAAAGGACGCAGTAAGACCTTTTTTAGTCCAGCCATCAAGGCATATTGTGAAGCGCCTGCCTTCAGATATGAAGTCACGAAGTTTTCTCGTTAAAACAGTAAATTCTTCATTAAGTAGGCTAGTTATTTTGGCAGAAGCAGGCAATGAAAATTTATAATCCAAGGTATTAACTAACTTTCTAAAACTCGCATTATCCACCAATGTCACTGGATTACATGATGCAATTATTATTTGAATAAGAGAGTTTAGTCGAATTTTATGCTCGTGTGAATTAATAGGCCATGCGGTATTCCTAGGATTAATGCATTGAATCAAGGTCTGGTTTTGATTTGAGGACGATTCTAAAAGAGTGGGTCCATTTTCATCCACTGCTTTTCTCTTTATCCCTGTTTGCTTTTTTTCACTTAATTTTTTTAATTCCGACTCTTCCAGCTCAACGTGTACAGACTTATGGTTTCTTGCTAAATGTAGCTAGAAAAAAATAAACATATTTATATAATTTTTTGTTTGTATATTTTTATGTTTATTTATCTATCTGTTTATCAATTAATGTATAAATAAGTTCGTATACGTTATTGAATAATTACTCTAAAATGATAAAAATGAGTCGTTTGTTTCAAAATGAAAACATATCCTCTAACAGATAAACTAACTTTAAGATTTGTTTGGTTCTTTCCACACAACTTTTATTGCATACTTTGTATTGCATACTTTTTCACCATCAAGTAAAACTAAACATACTGATTTGTCGGATGACGCATCGTATTTAAACCATTTCCATACTGAACTATTCCTCTTCCTACCAGCAAAAAATTTACTTAAACTCATCGCGTAGTTGTGTTGGTCTTACAGTTTGATTTTTTTTAGTTCGAAAAAATATATTCGAATAAATATATTCGAACTATATCATAACTAAATTTATTCGAACTTAATTGAATAAAATTCAATTAAGTTCGAATAATATATCATTATAATGTATTGTAATATAATAATTATATATATCAAATAATTCAACTCGTTTCAAATCTTATTTTAGAAAATTATTTTACAACGAAAATATTTCGTTTTAAAATAATTTTCGATTCAGTTTTTATTCCGTTCGAAAATTTAAAATTATCGTTTTTATTCTGTTCTCGTTCTTAAAATAAATTTCGTTTTAGTTTTCGTTTTCGTAAACGAAAGGCTTTTTTTTTCGTTCTCGTTTTCGTTCTCGTGTACGAAAATATCACTGTTTGGCATGCAGGTCTTTTCCATAAGCTTGCTTCATATGGTGTTTCTGGGAAAGTTTTTGAGATTATCAAATCATTTCTTTCTAACCGGTTTATAAAAGTCATCCTCGAAGGCCAACACACTTCTTTATTTCCAGTAACTTCTGGGGTTCCCCAAGGTTCCATCCTGGGGCCTGTTTTGTTTCTTATCTACATAAACGATCTTCCTGACAACCTTTCATCTTAAGTAGCTCTTTTTGCTGATGACTCAACTTTATACTCCTGTCTTGACAAAAAGTCTTCTCTTTTCGATCGCCTAGAACAAGCAGCTGATCTTGAATCTGATCTCACTTCAGTAATAGATTGGGGTTCACAGTGGCTTGTGAATTTCAACTCTAACAAAACCCAGTTGTTTACTGCAAACAACTACTGTAATATGGTCAACATTCCTAAATTAATGATAGGCAATCCTCTTACTGAGTCCTCCTCTTTACGTCTTCTTGGATTATCGCTTACTACTTACCTTTCATGAAAATCATATATACAATCGATTGCTAGATTAGCTTCTGCTAAGGTTGCTTCTTTTTATCGTGCTCGTCATTTCCTTACTTCTGATTCCATTCTCTACCTCTACAAATCTCTTATTTGTCCCTGTATGGAATACTGTTATCATATTTGGGCTGGTTCTTCTAACGATTCACTTTTTCTTCTTGACAAGGTCCAAAAATGCATTGTAAATGTTGTTGGACCTGGACTATCTGCTAAGTCTAAGCCTCTTTCCCATCGTCGTAAAGTTGCATCTCTTTCTCTTTTCTACAAATACTATCATGGTCACTGCTCAAAGGAGTTATCATCTCTAGTTCCATCAACTAAAATTCATTCTCGTTTTACTCTTCATTCAGCTAAGTCTCATTCGTTTACTGTATCTGTCCCTGCATGCTCTAAAAACTTTTATTCATCTAGTTTTTTTCCCCGCACTTCAATCCTTTGGAACTCTCTCCCATCTTCATGTTTTCCTGACTCATACAACCTCTTCAACTTTTCAAGTCTTCTGTCAACCGTTTCCTTGCTCTATAACTCTGTTGTTTTTTTTTCCTAGTAACTCCCAACTTAATAGTGGTTGCTTGCAGCCTTGTTGGGAGTGAATTTTTTTTTAATGGTATTTAAAGCTCTAGAATGACTCTTTTAACAAATTTTTCTGGCTATCTAGAGCAGATTAGTGGTGGGTTTTAATTACAAAATTTGTATCATAGATGCTAAGCAATTTGTATCATTGATGTACCTTAAACAACAACTGACATTTTATTTATTTGTATTTTATTTTGTGGCACAGACCCTACAAAAAAATGGGGTCTGTGCGCCCTGTGTATTTTTTGTTTTCAAGATTCTGCTACATAAAAGTGGGTCACATGACCCAGCCCTTCTCCTTGTGTCTTGGGCCCTGGAAAAAAATTTAATATAATAATGTTTATTATATTTAAATTTTTTAATATTATACAATATGTTTATCATTGCTTCAGAAATGAAAGAGTTTCAGAGCTCCAGCTAGTCTGGAAGGTAGAAAAAAGTTAATTGCAATGTTCTGATACAAAAAAGTGGGGTATGTGCCCCGTTCTCCATAAATTGAAATCTATAAACTAGCAGATCAAAATCCTTATGTTTTCTTAAAGACCAATAAATATAGAAAGATGTGTAAAAATTTTTTATTTTTGATATTATCTAGACCACATGAGTTTCTTAGGCATTAAATACAGTTATATAAAAATGGCCTAAATTTATTTAAATTGACAAATACAGGTGCTTAATAATAGTTTTTAAATTTCTTAAAGATAAAAATTGGCATGCTGGTCTTCTTCTGTATCAAGAAAAGTTTTTGAGATCATCAAATCATTTCTTTCTAACAACTTAATTAAAGTCATCCTCTAAGAACAACACTTTTTTTCTTTTCAAGTAACCTTTGGGCTCCAACAAAATTTTTAAAGTTATTTCTTTTTAAGTATTTTCCTGGTTATTTTTTCTCTGCACTTTAAACCTTTAATCCTTCTCATCTTCATCTTTTCCTGATCACACTTAAAGTCTTTTGTCAACCATTTCCTAACACTTTTTCTCTATTCTTTGTTTTTTAGTAATTCTTAACTTAATATTGGTTGCTTGTAGCCTTGTTGCAGTCTTGTTGCAGCCTTGTTGAGAGTGAATTAAAATTAAAAAATAATTAAGATTTTATAATTGCAGATTTTTAATACTATAATATGTATAATACTATTTTTCATTTAGGATGTGATGTACATGAGAAATGGAATTTCCAATCTTGGAAAAATATTCTTGAGAAGGGTTCAGTTTATTTTTAGTTTTTGTTTACAATGTTATTGTTAGTTATTACATTAAAATGTTATTAAATACAAGCCTTCCTGGGAAGCGCGTGCAGTGGCACGCCTTGTTCGTCTTAACCTGATACAAGTTGATGAAAAAAAGCTCTATTTTCTTCTAGAAGTTTAACAACAATTGAAAGTTTAGATATGCAAATTATTCGCAATTCTATTCACAGTCAGTATAATTAAGAAACTAATTACCTATGTAACTTTTTTTTATTTTTCTTATGTTTATTGGTTTTGATATTTTTTCACTTTTTAAAAATGTTTTTGCTGTTTTTGACGTTTTTTTTAAAGACTTATATATTAGGAAAATAAGAAAATAAATTGTTAAAATATATTATTTGATTAATAAATTTTGTAATGACGGAATAAATTAAATAAAAGAAAAGTGGTTTCGTTTATTTAATTTATTTCATAGTTTTGTTTATAAATGATTTTACCGGATTTGATGCACATCTGAAATTGTTACTTTCATATTGCTCAATTTCCATTGTTAATACGAATTATTAGAGTTAATGAACATAAGATTGCTTTGTTTAAAAAAATGTATTTATAAACTTAAAAAAAGTTTTAAATAGGCTTCTAAAAATTTCTTTAAAAAGTTCAGTAAATTAACAAAGATGCACTAACAATGTACCAAACAAATGCCCAAACGCTTTCGGAGCATCATCAATAACAATAGTTTATGAGGAAATAAACTATTGGGATTAAATGCACAATAATTTAGATAATCCAACAAAAATTGCAGACTCTTACAATGAAGGTAGTGAAAACAACCAAATATTTTATATTTAAATATAAGTATTAATAACTTTTTATTTTTTTACATGAAAAACTTGTTTAAAAAATTTTTTTATTTAACATAAATAGCAATAAGTTTTCTTGCTTTCCTGGGCATTGATAAAAAAAATAAAGTTTAGCAAAAACATTTGAAAAAAAAATTACAAAAATGTCAATGTTTCTAGTGAAAATAATAAAGTATTTTGTATTAAACTGACTGACTGAAAAAAGTCTCGAAAGAATTGTATATCAAAAAATATTTTTATTTTGGTTTTATTCTTATCTGCTTTTTTCCTCAACTTGTATCAATTTTAGTAGTGAAAAATAATAAATGCCCTAAAAATTAGAAAACAAAAACAGTAAAATTTTAGGTATATTATTTTTTTTGACAACATTTTTTTTGACATAATATTCAATTTTTTTTAGCTTATTTTATTTAGGTTTTCTATTTCATAAAGTCTTCTTTTACTTTCGTCGAGTATTGCTGTTTTATCCTCTCTAGTTTCTTATTGCTTTATTTTGCTGAAAATTCTTAAAGCGCTTACTATATAAAAATAAAGTCAAGTTTTCTAACACATTTACTTTAAGCGTGGATGAACAAGTTGTGTGATCGCACGTGCTTCCCATGAAGGCTTGTAAACATAATGAGAGTAGACTTTAATAAACTTAAACCCTTTAGGTTCAAGTTGGTTTATTTTCTCTATAGTTATAATCACTATTTTTATAGGTAGCATCTATGAATTGGGCATAAAATCACTTTTTTTTTTCCATTTATAATTCTTATATATATTTCTATATATATACATTATATATATATATATATATATATATATATATATATATATATATATATATATATATAATATATATATATATATATATATATATATATATATGTATGTATGTATATATATATATATATACATTCTATATATATATATACATATATATATATATATATATATATATATATATATATATATATATATATATATATATATATATATATATATATATATATATATATATATATATATATATATATATATATATATATATATATATATATATATATATTGGCCTAGAAAGTTGTTTTTTTATGTACTAATTTAGGAAAGTATTTACTTTTATGGATTGAACAATGTCTTTCACTCGCAACTATAATTACAAAAATTAGCAGGCCTTATTATTATTCAAAAAAAAAGTTTTTCAAAATTATGTGATGTAGGTACTCAAATGAAGCGAAATTTTAAAAAAATTTTAAAAATAATAATTTTTTCATATAAAAATTATTATTTTAGATTTTATTGCATAATAACTACAGTTTTTTTAACTAAAAGTGAAAAAGGTGCATTTTTACATGTTTTTTAATAACAATTTTTTTCGGCATTATGATTTTTATAAAACGATTATTATTTTCGAACTTTTTATAAAATTTCACTTCTTTTGAATACCAGGTTGACCTACTTTTGAAAAACTTTTTTTCTCCAAAATATTAGGGTACTGGTAATTTTCCCAATAAAGTTGCGGCCTTTAAATCTATCACAATCATTCTCATTTAATAGTATCAATATTAATAACTATTAGCAATGTTTAGAGCCTGTAACAAGAAAAAAAAAATTTATGACCCACCCTAATATATATATATATATATATATATATATATATATATATATATATATATATATATATATATATATATATATATATATATATATATATATATATATATATATATATATATATATATATATATATATACATACAATAGTGCTCAAAAATTTAGCAGGCAGCAGAATTAAATTTAGTTTTTTTCCATATATGTTAACTTTTCAGTTAGTAAAGTTTTAAAAAAAAGTTTTATATTTATCAATTAACAAGACATAACCAGATAAAAAAAGAAAAATTAAAAAAAATTTGCTTAAACACATCCATTTTTTTAAGTACATGCATTAAGAGTTATTTTAATTTTTTAAAAAAAGCTGCTCATAAGTTTAGCTCGCTAGCTCTTCATAAAGCTTCTAAGGAGATTTTTTATAAATTTATTAAGGAAATTTTTTATAAATTTATTGCAGTAAAAGTTGCATCATAATAAAATTAAAATCTTCTTTTTAAAGAAATATTACAAAAGTATATTTAAAGTTTAAAATATTTAGTGTTTCAAAAGTTTGTTTTAAATTAATTCATCTTTTTGCTTAATTTTAGATTATAATAATAATAGAAATTTGAAATTTTACATGGGAAGAAAAACCATAAATCAAGAAATCAAACAGCATGTTATTGGCCTTAATATGGGAGGTCACTCTAACAATGAAATATCTCGAATTTTAAAGTGTGTTTCACCATCATGTGTAAGTAGAACTATTGCTAAATTTAACGAAACTGGTAGTACTGCTGAGAAAAAGCGTTGTGGGCAACCAAGAAAGACAAATAACATTTATGATAATTTTATTTATATAATTGCCAGAAAAAATCCGAAATACTCAGCGAAACAGATTGCACAAGAAATAAACTTGGCACAAACAGATTGTACTAGAAATAAACTTAGCACACAACATCAAGTAATAAGGCAAACAGTTAATAGAAGACTAATAGACCATAAAAAACAAGTTAAATTTTGCAATTTTAAAAATAAGTAATAAATTAAGAAAAATTGTTTTGAGTGATCAATCTAACTACACTATCCTAAATCGTAAAAACAAAGTACTTGTCTGTAGGCACCACAATGAAAAGTATAATAGTTGCTGTATTGTACCTATACTACAATGTGGAGGTCAGTGTTTTTTACCCGGGTATTACCTTACCGTTACCCGGGTAATTTACAAGTTTTTCCTTACCCGTTAACCGGGTAATTTTTCAAAATTACCCGAGTCAATTTATGGCAGAATATGGTAAAATTATCACCATAATTAAACAAGACATTTGGAAAATTCAAGAAGAAGCAGGTCGTTTTTCTATAAGCTTTGACGAATCCAATTCAGTCAGAAACCATTGTTTTATGAATCTAAACTTACATGGTTTAGATGGCTTTCAATCTGTACTAATGACCCATGTCAAGGGTAGCATGAACACTGAAAAAAGCTATTCAACTTTTTAAGTCACGATTGTCTGAATTCCAATTGGATTTGGACAACATTGTAGCAACAATCACAGATGTTGCGAGTGTTATGATGAAATTCGGGAAAAAAACCAGTCCCATTCATGTTGGCTGTCTTGCACATAGAGTCTATCTTTCTGTTTGCAATATACTTTAGAAGCCTTATAAGATAAACAATGATTTAATTTATGATAAAACTAAAGAGGAAGAGAATTAAGAAAAAACAATAGAGGCCTATGATGAATTAGGCACTGAGACAAACCTAGTTTCTGATATTGATGCTATTGTTGGTAAAATTCGTAAAATTGTTTAAGTCTTGTTGTTGGTAAAATTCATAAAATTTTTTAAGTCCCCATTCAGAAATGATGACAATCTTCAACCTTAAAATATTCAGTCCTTTGGATAGCTTTATTTAAAGTAACGTAAAGTAGGTTAAATAGCAGGACTGAGACAACTGTGTGTAGCATGTGATCTAAGCTCATTACATCTTCTATCTATGAACGAGTCAATTTTTTATTAACTTAAATCAAATAAAGAAATAAAGATAAATTGTTTTAAAGTTTTAACTTTTCAAATTTATTCACAATGCGCACAAGACACAGATGTGTAATTGAATACTTACTATACCTCAAGGTTTTATTTTATATATTTTTTTTCCTAACATTAAATTTTCTGTTATTGATGTTTCTAGTTAAACATGAATGTATAAATTGAGTTTCAGTGAAGAAGGTTGTAATAGAGAAAGGTACATTTTTTTTAAGGGAGTCAAAAACAAAAAGAAGAAAGAAGTTTAACAAATATAACTAGTGCTGATAAGGTAGGAGTTTCAAGTTTTTTGAAGAATTTTAAAGTTTCTGTGGAGTTGAAAATTAATTATTCTGATTGATTGGCGCTGAGCTGATAACAATTTAATATTACATTTGCCAATTTGTCCCCAAACTTGACAACAGTAGTTGAGATGAGATTGAAAAGTTGCAAAATATAGATTCTTAAGGGTAGTTTCATCAACATAATGGTGAATTATTGAAAGCATGCCATTAGCTCGATTAAGTTTTTTACGGAGTGCATCTATATGAAATTCC